AATTCTATAATCCCTAAGGAAATAGAAACAGTCACTAAAAGTCTCCCAACCCCCCAAACCCGGGGCCAGATGGTTTTAGTGCAGAATTTTACCAGATTTTCAAAGAAAAGCTAATACCAATACTCCTCAAACTATTCTACAAAATAGAAAGAGAAGGAACATTGCCAAACTCATTCTATGAGGCCACAGTCACTCTGATACCCAAACTAATAAAGACCCAACAAAGAATTTCAGACCAGTTTCCCTTATAAATATTGGTGCAAAAATGCAATCTACAGATTCAATGCAGTCCCCATCAAATTTCCAACACATTTTTTTTATATATCTTGAAAGAGCAATCTCAACTTCATATGGAAAAACAAAAAACCCAGGATAGTGAAAACAATTTTGAACTTCTGAATCACCATCCTTGATCTTAAGCTGTACTACAAAGCAATATTGATTAAAAGCTGCATGGTATTGGTATATAAACAGACACATTTATCAATAGAATTGAATAGAAGACTCTGAAATAATCCCCTATGGGCACTTGATTTTTGACAAAGAAGACAAAACCACACAATGGAAAAGAGAAAGCATCTTCAACAAATGGTGCTGGTCTAACTGGGTGTCTGCATGTGGAAGAATGCAAACAGATCCATATTTATCACCCCGCACAAAACTCAAGTCCAAGTGGATCAAACACCTCAACAAAAAACTTGATACACAGAATCTAATAGAAGAGAAAGTTGGGAATACCCTTGAATATATTGGTACAGGAGACAAGTTCCTGAACAGAATGAACACCAATGGCTCAGGCTCTAAGATCAAGAATTGACAAATGAGCCCTCAAGAAACTGCAAAGCTTCTGTTAGGCAAAGGACACCAACAACAGGACAAAACGGCAGCCTACGGATTGGGAAAGAATCTTTACCAACTCTACATCTGACAGAGGGTTAATATCCAAAATATAAAAAGGACTCAAAAGGTTAGACACCAACAAACCGAATTAACTCAATTTAAAAGTGGAGTACCGAGCTAGGCAGAGAATTCTCAACATAGGGGTCTCTAAATGACTCTGAGATCCCACCTCTCACTTAAAAGAATGGCTAAGATAAAAATCTCAAGTAACAGCACACGCTGGTGAGGACGTGGTGCAAGGGAAGCACTCCTCCATTGCTGGTGGGAGTGCAAACTTGTACAACTTCTCTGGAAATCAATTTGGCAGTTTCTCAGAAAATTGGGAATAGTTCTACCTCAAGACCCAGCCATACCACTCCTGGGCATATACCCAAAAGATGCTCCAACATATAACAAGGACACATGCTCCACTATGTTCATAGCAGCTTTATTTATAATAGCCAGAAGCTGGAAAGAACCCAGATGTCCCTCAACCAAAGAATGGATAATGAAAATGTGGCTCATTTACATAATGGAATACTATGTTGTGAAAATTACAGGCAAATGGATGGAACTTGAGAATATCATCCTGAGGTAATCCAGACCCAAAAGGACATGCATGGTATGTATTCACTTATAAGTGAACATCAGCCATAAAGCACAGGGTAGCCATGCTACAATCCACTGACTTAAAGAAGCTGAATAATAATGAGGGCCCAAAGAAGGATGCTTGAGCCTCACTCTGAATCAGAAAGAGAATTGCCAACAGAGTTGGATGGAGGGAGGAGCTGTGTGCGAGAGAGGATGGGGAGCAGAAGGGGTGGAGGCAGTTTAGAATCAGATGTAAGCAGAGGCTGGGAGAGGGGGCCGGGGGAGTAAATAGGGATCAGCACGGGAAAGTGGGGAGGCATCTCTAGGATGTGCCAGAGACCTGGGATCGGGGAGGCTCCATAGAGTCTCTGAGGGTGACTCTAGCTGAGGCTCCTAGCCATGGGGGACATGGAGCCTGAAGTGGCCACCTCCTGTAGCCAGGCAGGACTCCCAGTGGAGGGAGAAGGACAGCAACATACCCACAAAAACTCCGACACAAAAATTGTCCTGCTTACAACAAGTGCCACAGATATTGAGGGGCTAGCCATCCCATGGGCAAGCACCAATCTCTGACACAATTACAGATGCTCTATTATGCTTGCAGACAGGAGCCTAGCATAACTGTCTTCTGAGAAGCTCCACCCAGCAGCTGACCAAAACTGGTATAGAGACCCACAGCCGAACATTAGACAGAGCTCTGGAAGTCTTGTGGAAGAGTTGGGGGAAGGATTGAGGAACCTGGAGGAAATAGGAATTCTGAAAGAAGACTAACAGAGTCAACTAACCTGTACCCTCGGGGGCTCCCTGAGACCACCAAGCAAAGAACATACAAGGCTGGACCTAGCCACCCCTCCCTCCGCATGCAGATGCAGCAGATGTGCAGCTTGGTCTTCATGCTTGTCCTCCAACTGGAGCGAAGGCTTACTCTGAGTCTGTTGCCTGTCTGTGGATCCTGTCCAGGCCCCTAACTGGACTGTCTTGGCTGGCCTCAAAGGGAAAGGATATACCTAGTCCTGCAGTGACTTGAGGTGTCAGGGTGGGTTGGTATCCAGTGGGGACCTCACCCTTCTCAGGCTGAGAAGATGAAGGGGAGGGATAGGAGGAGGGGTGCTGTGAGGGGGGACTGGGAGAAAGTTGGAGGTTGTGATCAGGGTGAATAATTAAGTAAATTAATGGAAAAATATAAATAAATAAATAAATAAATAAATAAAATGATCACACACAGACAAAGAAATCCTTAAATCTTTTAAAGCCTTTGAAGTGTTCCTTGACAGAGGGACTACTCTGTAAGCATTTCCTGATTTTATAACCGTGTTCAAGAAAATATGGATATCACCTGGGATATAGCGCAGTCTACATTTGGTTTTTATTCTCAAATCCTGATAGCTCCTAAAACTCTTAGCACCTAGAGGGTTAGGAGTGTCTTTTGTATGCAGACTCATTGACTTGTTGACAAGGGCCTCTTTCATGAAGGATTCTTCTCACAGAAAAGAACAAGGCATGATTAGAACACAGAGACTTTCAGCATCCTCCCTCAGACTCCAGAGAAGTGAGGTGTGATCCTCAAAGCTATAGCCAGTCACATCCAGGGATGTAAGGGAACATAAACACCTAAAGAGACAGATGTGGAGGTTTGAATATGCTTGGTCCAGGGAGTGGCACTATTAGAAGGTGTGGCCTTGTTAGAGGGAGTGTGTCACTGTGGGTGTGGGCTTTAAGACCCTCACCCTAGCTGCCTGAAAGCCAGTCTCCTCTTCGCCTTCAGAACAAGATGTAGAACTCTTAGCTCTTTCAGAGCCATTACCTGCCTGGATGCTGCCATGCTTTCCATTATGATGATAATGGACTGAACCTCAGAACCTGTAAGCTAACCCCAGTTAAATGTTGTCCTTATAAGAGTTGCCTTGGTCATGGTGTCTGTTCACAGCAGTAAACCCCTAACTAAGACAACAGGGCTATAGGTTTCCTTCCGGCTCTTCGCCTGCAGTCTCTATAGCAGACTAAGCACTCCTGAATTCTGTGAGGTGCTGCAGCAAATGAATTGGTCCCAGTGTGGACCCCCTAGAACACCAGATTTGTGGTGCTACTGATAGACCCGAGGCACAGGGCACAACCAGAGGTTTGAGATTAGCATCTGACCTTTGATAAGAGGTAACTCTTAAGAACTAAGCCCCAACCTGTGATGTCAGATGCCATCTTCAGGTAGAAGGAGCCAGAATTGAATTGAAAGAGAATCCTGCTGAACTGGATGTCTCTGCTGGGGCATCTGCTCTGTTGGTTGCTGGATGTGTATGGAGAAAGAACCCATTCGTCTAGTCACAGAAATGTTCCATTTTCTGTGACTTTGGGATTGTGGGCATGAGGGAAAATGCCCTTTCTTTTCCCTTTTGACACCTGACTGGCCTTGTATAGAATCTTATCTAGCTGAGCTCACCAGAGGCTCATAGCCACATGCAAAGGGAATCATCTTTCTCCTCTTTTCAGATAGGAAAACAGACTAAGATAGCTGTTGATTTGCTCAAGTTAAGACAGCGAAGACCCTGCTTTGATAACGAGACCCCTACTTGGTTGAGAGCATGTATCATGGAGTCTGCTACTCAGAACGATCTTTACCACGCAAGAGACCACTGGCTTTTCCTCAGTGTCATGGAGCCTCGGTTTGTATCTCTACAGAATAAGGAGGGTACATCTCATTTCATAGATAGCAGCGACACAGGCATGGCTAAAGCTAAATCTCCATTAGTATATTAACATATTTAATATATTTAACATTATTATATTAAATATTACCTGGGCTGGAGAAACGGCTCAGTGGTTGACATGGGTTGCTCTTCCAGTGGTCCAGAGTTTAGCTGCCAGCACATATATCAGGTAGCTCACAATCACCTGTATCTTCAGCTCCAGGATATCTGATGCCCTCTTCTGGCCTCCGTAGGCACTACAATCATGTGTACACACCCCAACAGACAACAGCAATTAAACTATAAAACAAATCTTGAAAATATATTATTATCACTACTGTGATGCATCCAATTGCTTCTTTAGAAACAAACGATTTTGAAATGATCAGTGCTTTGCACACAGTTGACACTCAGCAAATACTGGCTTCCTTCTATAAATATTTGGTCCATCCGAACTTACTCTCTGAATAAGTTGTCCAGCTGCCACCAGCCGACATCTCAGTTATCAACAACTCTGACCGGTGCAATGTGGAATCAGGTGTCTGGTTTTAGCTGGGACTTTCTGGAAGTCAGACAGACCACCGGTTTATTTGCCACACAAACAAATCAACGGGAGAAATTCCAGGCTGGTGGCAAGCTGAAGTGCTTGGAAGCCAGACAAAGACAGTGGAGGGCGAAACTTGCCCTGCAGGCTTGGCAGAGAGGTCACTCCACAGAGCTTACATGCACCTCTCTCCTGGGGAGTCAGAGGCAGACACTGTTGCACCGACCAATGGAGTGTAAGCTTAGAGACAGTGTCCTTAATAATTTCCCCAATGGGAAGGAGTTTTGTTTTCCCTGTCTCTTAGGAGACCAGGCTAACAGGTCACTGGAAAACAAGTGTTGGTGCCAGGGCCTCCGGTGGACACGAGACTGCCTTTTCAGAGACAGGTATTTGAATCCTCACTTTTGGCTCAGGGGTCGTTCTGTATGCATCCTGGGATTTTAGGGGTGTGTCTTGGTGGGATTGGGGCCAGAGATTGACAGGTCACACTTTACCAGGATCCGTCCAATGTTTCTGGCTCTCTTTCCACTCCACTGGCAGCTGGTTATTCTTAGCCACCGATTGCTTTCACTCTCCTGTTAACTTATTCGAGCTGTGGAGAAAGGCTACTGGGCCGGCAAAGGCACTGCGGAACGGTGACTAGTAAGAGCATGGCTCTCTGTCTTCTATTACCTTCCTCTGGAAACACGTGCTGGACCTCCCTCTCCCAGCCTTCTCCCCTGGACTGTTTCCTGCGGGACCCTTCTCTTGTCTTCCTCAGCCCTGGCAGTCTGACATCTCAGCTCACCTGCTGAGAAACGCACACAGCTCAGTAGTAGGAAAAGCACACATTAAACCTCCCCAAATGGTTTCAAAGCTCACGGAGTGGGAGTCGAGTGGACCTAGGGAGGAGGCAGAGAACCACCCATAGCCAGACCTCATGGTGTCTGCCATGGCTGACTCCACCTTGCCCGGTGCAGGAAGGGCTTGTGCCGGGGGGCGGGTTTCTAGGGCGACAATCCAAACAGCTGGCTGAGTGTTAGACCTTTACCCCCAAAGAATGGCAATGGCTAACTGGAACACTGAGCCAGAGAGAGAGAGTTGGGCACGGAGCACACAAGTCAGCAGGGAGTAAGGGATTCCTGCTGCCTCTGTGGAGAGGTTGGAGGACACGGAAGTCGGCCACTCTCTACCTTCCACACGACGTGTCAGCCGTGGGGTGCCTGGCACAGGCACCTGGTACCTATATTTTCCCTACAACCTCCCACAAGGGATCTATTTGGGAGTCAGCCTTCATGGCCTGGCATCTACCACTTAAAGGAGCTAAGAAGAATTCATTTGGTGTCGTCTTCAGACGAGGGCACAGAGGCTAAAAGACCACGGGCCATTCCTCCGTGTTGTGAAATCATCCGAGGCAGCCAGAAATGACCTCAGTGTCTGCTCCCCAGAGTCCTCGGAGCAAAGGTCACAGCTCAGCTGCTCACCAGGACTGGTTTACCTCCCTAGCACTCCCTAGGATGTGCCTACAGCGGAAAAGTCCGGGCAAGGTCACCATGACTAGAATTCTACCCCCAAATGCCATGTGATTAATGCTGGGGCACAGCAGGCAAATCTATGCTGATTCTGTTTTGGTAGCGACTGCCTGTGGAGAGGCCTTGATGTCAGCACTGTTAGTTATGGAGGGAGAGTTTAAAGGGTTGCTGCACCCACGGAAGCATCAGAGAGGCTTCTGACGGAAGGAAGGAACTGTAGGGTCAGACTCCACCCGGGCAGAGTAATGCCCTAAGCAAGGCGGTTCAGTTGAGTTTTCCTTCTTAGGCCGCGGACATGGTGTGTATTGCGGTCGTCGGAGCTGGCGTGATAGGGCTGTCTACCGCCGTGTGCATTTCCCAGCTGGTCCCCGGATGCTCCATTACTGTCATCTCAGACAGGTTCACTCCTGATACCACCAGTAATGTAGCCGCTGGGATGCTTATTCCTCACACGTATCCAGGTGAGTGACTGGGTATTTGTAAGAGGCTAATTTCACACCAGGCACCTTTCTTGAGACCGCTTCCCGGAGTTCCTTTGCTTACAATAAGCATGGGTGATCCTGAAGATTGTCTGGTGTCCACCAGTCATCTTTGAAGGAGGCACTTCATTTGAGAGTTCCGCCAAATCACAGGGGCCTGCTCTCTCTCTGTGACTGAGTGCCTTGGTCTCCTGGATCAGATTCGGTTTCTTTCTGCTGTTATTAGATGAAGGCTTTGATTCATTCCCCGGACTTCTTCCTTAGATATGATTCAGACCAAACATTTTCTGCTCCATGCCTGTCTAGCATCAGGCTCTTGTGAGGATTAAATAAATGAGTTAATCACAGAGTTTAAAACAGTGCCTGGCACAGAGTCAGCCCTCCATCGGCATCTGCAAGTACTCCTGCCACTCTGGCTAAGACAGTCTTGCTTGACCAGCACTTGAATATGAATTAGGTCACCATGCTTGCTCAAATCCACAGTTGAATTGGGACTGTTATTTGGGGATGATTGCTGTAGCGTGTGGCTCTCTGCCACTCGTCTGTTGTTTTTAGGATTCCGGGGCAGGAATATGGGAATGCATATTAAATCAGCTCTCCACACTGACATAGGCCATTGGAGGACCGTCCACTGGGGTCTAACACAATTCTGCAGTACAACTATCATTTCTTCTTTATCTCTAAACAAGCAGCCTATCTGCAATTTGGGAAGAGACCGTGGCACTCACATGGGTACACTTTTTATTGATGTCAATGCTTAGTCAGTATTACAGAAATATTTATTGATTCTATAGCCAGTGCTTTATTTAAAAGTCTTGCTGCTAATTGATCCGTATTGACCTAGGGTCCCTGCTTGTCACCTACTGTGTTTCCAGCCCTCTTAGAAGGAGCCTCTCAGTTCTTTCTATTGTCCCAGAAATATGCCTGGCTGGGTTTCCTAGTCACACACCCAGTCTTTCTCAGATTGCCAATTTGGGACTATGCCTGTACCAATGCTTCCGGCCCTACATCCTTTGCCTTGCCGAGCCTGTTTCCACTCCCTCAGTAGATCATTACAGGAGTGAGCCAGATAGACATATCAACATTCAAAATTCTGGGAATTCTGTCGAAATGCTCCTCCCTGACTACGCTCGTGGCAGAAGTCACAGTCATGACCACTTCCTTCACACCATGCTTTGCTTTTCTCCACGACCCTGCAGATACTCCTGTGCCCATGCAGAGGCGATGGTTTAGAGAGACCTTCCAGCATCTTTCTGAAATCGCCAAGTCTGAAGAGGCTGCAGATGCGGGTGTTCACCTGGTGTCTGGGTAAGGAAAGGAATCTGCAGTCGTTGTAGACATAAACAACACAGAGAGCAGAGGTCAGCAGAACATTTACCAGCCTCAGGGAGGATTTAGAAAAGACTTCTGAGAACTTGAGAAATACTGCTTACAGAATTAGGGGAATTATTCATTTTTGTTTTGTTTTTAACAATAAATAACTACTGCCATTTCTTGTCACACATATACACATATACAAAATAGTGTACATTATATAATATACAATATAATATATTATATGTGTATAATACATTGTATATGTGTAATATACTGTATATGTATAACTTACATATAATATATATGTATAACATAATATATGTACAATAGATTATATATCTATACTATATTATGTATGCTTATAAATAGTATATGTATTTATATAGAGTATAAATTTTATATATATATAATTTTACTGAAGGAATGTGAAGTGGCTTGCAAATATGGAGAAAACAAGCAAAAGTCCTGAATGGCAAATAAACCCTGAGTGTGGGTGTGTGGAGGGTGGCGTAGCTGATGGAAAGCCAAGTGATGGGACACAGGCACGGGCAGAGGCCTTAGGCAGAGAAGTGTCTAATTTATTTGAGAATCATTAGAAAACAAGATGGCCCCCAAAGTAAGTTTTGTGCATCCATCACTAAAGTTGCTTTTCAGGGGAGGAATAGTGTTGGACATTGAGCTTAGGGCCTTGTACATGCTAGGCCCTCTACAATTGAGCTATATCTCCAGTCCTAAATTTATCTCTCGAAGTGTCATTTGGAAAATAGCATTTCTGAGGTGATCTGTATGTTTCTATTTGATTGTTAATATCTGATTGGGACACTGAAGGCCTAAAATCAGCCATAGGCCTAAAACCAGCAATAGGCCTGACATACATGCATGCTAACACAAAGTCTTGGGTCTCTGTGGAAAAACACTGAAACAGATGGCTATAAGCTATTGGTTTTTTTTGCTATACGCTATTGGGTTTTTTTTTTTTTTTTTTTGGTTTGGTTTTTTCGAGACAGGGTTTCTCTGTATAGCCTTGGCTGTCCTGGAACTCACTCTGTAGACCAGGCTAGTCTCAAACTCTCGAACTCAGAAATCCACCTGCCTCTGCCTCCCAAGTGCTGGGATTAAAGGCGTGCGCCACCACCGCCCGGCGGCTATAAGCTATTGTAAACAGGCAGCTTTTGTGGAAATTTACCAGCCTGAGTAGTCATAGACCTTGTGGATAGGTAGCCTTGACAGATAGTACCAACTTAGATAAGGAAAAGTGAATCATAGGCAGAGTCATAGTGACCTGTCCCCTGAACCTTCACCCAGCTGACACTCTGTTCTGGAAGATATCTGTACTCCTCCTGAACACCTACGCTCCTGCGTCATCCCCTTCCCTATGTCCTGCCTTTTTGTGTTTATAACTCCTGTGTGAATAAGTAAAAATTATGATTTGATGTTTTAAAAAAAATCTGATTGGGAGGAGACGCATAATTAAGTGAAGTTTAATGACATATTCAATTTAACATTTCTAACACAGACAGCACTCAAAACTTGATGATTTCATCCTACATTCTCTTAGGCAGAGATTATTAAATGTTCTAGCATCTTTAATTCAGGTCTTAGTGTCATCAAATGAAAAAGGACATTTGTCACCCATGTTATCCTATGTGCCAGCACAGCCTTCTGAAGAGCAGAAGGATGTTTTCAAGGACAATTCTATCTTTGTGACATTAGGACAATTTAAAAAGTACCAGTCTTGGAGCTGGAGAGATGGCTCAGTGGTTAGGAGATTTTCTGTTCTCATAGAGGACCTGGGTTCAGTCCCCAGCACCCACACTGTTACTCACAACCACCTGCAGCTCCAGTTCCAGGAGCTCTGGTGTCCCCTCTGGCCTCTGTGTGTCTGCCTACATACAGTATTCATAAACATATGCAGGCACACATGTACATATAAAAACCAAATAACATTTAAAAAAAAAAAAACAGAAGAAAGCAAGAGTACCAGTCTTCCCATCTGACGCCAGGCCCCAGGACATCTCTTCTAAGTTTGTGTGCACATCAAGTGTATAGTTGCATCAGAAGGATTTCTACTCTTTCTTCCATGCCTTCCCTCACCATACCACCACCAGGATGGATGGCGAAATCCTTACTTTTCCAAAGCCCCTCCCCAAAATGGCAGGTTTTGCTTAAACACGAAGCATGGACTTCTTTTTATCAATGGCAGAGTCTAGTCTCTCTCGCCAACATTAGTTATTGAGCCATATTGAAGCATGGCGTTCCCTGTGTTGTGGTCACCCTTAACTTGTTCCAAAACCAATAGGAATTCATCAATATTGCTTCTAACTAATTTTTAGAAAACAGATATGTTCATATATTCTTTACTTTCAGAATTAAGGCTTTGCAAATGTCCTGTGTATCTGCAATGTGACCTTAATCTTCAATTCATTCTTTCAAGGGGACTTTTGGCAACCCCCTCTGCAGCTGGTCTTCTAGGTCTTAGGGAGGTGACAATAAAGAACTTCACATACAGTAAATGTTTAGTAAATACATGTTAAGCGAGTTTTGCAGAAGACAGACCCAGTTCTGTCCTCAAGTGTCTCTGGCCTATGGAGGAATGTCCCAAATCTTACTAGTTACAAACGAAGCACCAGTGACCAGAGGCTGGAGTACAGAGAGCTATGGAGAGATAGGGAAGATGCTTGCTTTAAAGATTCATCAGAAGCCGTGTAGGAAACGTGATTCCCACGAGACCCACAAGATGAGTGTAAGTTCATACAGGTGAAGGGACAGAGAGAGGCTCACAGGAGACAGGTCCAGGTAGAGAGGACAACACACACACTGACCTGTCTCATGTGACTGTGGTGTATTGAAGAACTCAAGTAAATCCTTGGTATTGAACACGGTGAGGTAACTTCAGATCTGCATTGCAAAGGCCTTTTATCTGGAGTGGAGAGACAATATAGGGGAAAGAGAGAAAATAGTAGGCTACATTGATAGTGAGAAGACAGAGCGGACGGATTAGAAAAATGCCTAAGAGGAGACTTGATGGGCTTTAATCGTGAAACTGGGCCATGGTGGCAACTCCAGAGGTAGAGGCAGGGGGATATATGTGAGTTTGAGGTCAGCCTGGTCTACAGAGTGAGTTCCAGGACAACCATAGCTACATAGGGAGACACTGTCTCAAAAAAAAAAAAAAAAGTCAGTGGTGTGGGGAAGTAGGGATCAAGGAGGGCTCTTATGAGCACCGGCAAGATAATTCACGTTTTAGACTTGGGGTCTGCTGGAGGGGAAGTGTCTGCTCCAGAGTTGTGGAGAAGGACCTCGAACCCAGAAGGGTTTGCAGATTGACAAGGAAAAAGGCCCAAGCTGCACTTCCTCCTTCTCAGGGTCTGCTGTGAGCTAACACTGGTGTACTTAGAGACACTAACTCTGGCATGTCAGCAACCATGTCTTTAACATCCAGATTGCATCTTGCTACTTTAGAACAGGGACAGTCACCAATTGCTGACAGGAACACCCCAGGACTTAACAAGTCCAGTCATGGAGCAGCTACTGGCAGTCTGTTCCAGGCCATTTTTTTTTTTTTAAATCTAAAGTGTTGTTGTTGCTGTTGTTAGCTCTTTGAAAGTTTCATGCAGTGTACTGACTGCTTTCATCCGGTGTTACAAGCTGCTTGTTAACTACTAATAGTACTGTTGCCCTCTACCCTGGCTGCGCTGTGGCCCCAGTGCCCCCTCCATAGGATCCTCTTGGTGACCCCTTACTTTATGACCTAGAACTTGACTTAAGTCACGTGCCTGCTTCTCTCCATTACCCAGGTCTGGTGATTCATGCCTTTAATCCCAGCACTCAGGAGGCTGAGGCAGGAGGATCACTATGATTTGAAGGCCAGCCTGAACTATATTGTGAGTTTCAGGCCAGCCAAAGTTTCATGGTGAGATCCTGTCTCAAAAACAAACAAAATCCTACTAATTAAGATATGTTCAAAATCAAGGCTAACCTTTGGATTCCTACGTATCCCTTTTCTTCTTCATGTGAAGGGTTGTGCAAAACATTAAAAACTTTTCCTCTAAAATACACAGTCACATTTAAATAGAGGAAACCATGGAAAAAGCATTTCAGAAAAAAATAAAAAGTTTTGTTTTTGTTTTGTTTCTCTGTGAAGTCCTGGCTATTCTGGAGCTTGTTCTGTAGACCAGGCTGGTCTCGAACTCACAGAGATCTGCCTGCCTCTGCATCCTAAGCGCAAGGCGTGGGCCACCACTGCCTGGCCTAGCAAGCAAATTTTTTAAAAAGACATGCTATTTATTTTTGTTTTTTTGTCATGCTGGGGGTTAAACGTCTGACCTGTTGAATGCTAGTGGGATTTACTCACGAGTAAAGTTCCAGCCTTGCGAGTACTTTACAAACATCTGACCCCTTCAGTTGTGAACATCTGAAATCTAGCCACTCACTCATCAGAACACGAAAGAATGGAGGAATTCATCTCTCCCTCTTTGTGTTTACAGGAAGTAATGTTTTAAAGTACTTTAGGGAGTTGTATATGAATAGAGTTTAGGGAGTTAACGAAAAACACACAACTTTGAAAATGTAAGGAGCAGTTTCTACTTCCGGTGCTTCAGTAAGGAGCAGTTTCTACTTCCGGTGCTTCAGTTGGCAGATATTTCGCAATGTCCCCACTGAAGAAGTGCCTTTCTGGGCTGACGTCGTGCTGGGATTTCGGAAGATGACAGAGGCCGAGCTGAAGCGATTCCCTCAGTACGTGTTTGGGCAGGCTTTCACAACCCTGAAGTGCGAGACTTCTGCCTACCTCCCGTGGTTGGAGAAAAGGTTGGTTGAAATGTCTCTGTGCTTTGTCCTGTTTGTCATGTGATAATTTATTGCACAGCGTCATAAAGCACACAGCAGACTCTCTGGGACTTTCTTGTGCGTTCTTGCTGCTCACAAATGGCCAGGGGTCTGTGGACGCATCTGGAGAGCGTTTGCTAAACAGGGACTAAGTCCGCAGCACACTCATGATAACTTGGTGCCTCATTCGTCCCCACTCCCGCAGAGCAAAGCCAGTTACTAAAATCTTAGTTTCCTCAGCTCAGAAAATGGAGGCGTTCAGATAATACAGAGCTTTAGTTCTTTGGATGGGAAACATTTTATATTGATCATAAATTGTTGTTTAATCTTTTTCTCATCTTCAGTAAAAATAGCTTCATTAGTTATTGTTGCTAATGTGTGATGAGTGAGAACATTTAAATTGAGAACCTTTCAAAAGTATGTACTTGCTTCCTTAGAATGTACACCTTGAACCTGTGACGGTTCAGTTTTGGCTCGGTTTCAGCATGCCCTGTGTCTAGATTGTTAGGGTACACAGCAAGAGCGTTTTCATTTGAGGCACATCAATAAATCTCTTGATGATTTTCTTAGCCATTGCGTGATGTTGGGGGTTGGGGGTGGGTGCGGTTGTAAAACATAAGCACTGTCAGGCCCTAAATCTGGGTGTGGTGTGAAGAACCCATATCTAAAATGTTTTGGACTGGAGGTATTTTGAAATTTAGTTTTCTTTTTTTTTTTTTTAAATATAACTAATGAGTTTGGCGTCTGGCCAGATGGCTGATATAAGATGGCAAGGGTTACCTGCCCCCTTTTCTTTTTGTAAAAGGCATTGTGGAACAGGGCAGAGCCTCATAGCAGACCTTCAGGCTTCCTCATAGGGAGACCTTCAGGCTGGCAGGAGGTGGGGCAGAGCCACCATGAAGGAATTGGGCATCTGGGGCTCACTCTGTGGGCCAGGCAGACTCAGATGGGCACCCACACAATCCCTGCTGCTCCTTACACTTTGGGCCTGTTCCGTTGCCTCCTACGCCTCTCCCCCACAGTGTGAGCACTCAGCCTTCTGTGTCCTGATTCAAAAGGGAACATTCCTGTCAGCGAGCATTGGAGCAGTGGCTTCAGCCTCAGCGCTAGCTAGGAAATCACAACAACCCAGGGCAAGCATATTATTATAACTTAAGTCGTTCGTTCTTTTCCAAAACCAGCAAAGGTCATCCCCTGCTCAAACATTGCCCAATAATGCCTATAACAACCGACATGCAAAAACCCTCAGAGGTTAATCACCCATGCAGGTAATATTTTATATCAAGTCACACACTTGGCTGGATATTTTTTTTTCTTGCCATCTCAGGAAATGAATCACAGAGGCAGTAAGTCTCCTGCCAGGCAGCCTACCTAAATAAATTATTCTGAAGGGAGCAGAGTCACCCTGCATTTAATGGCATCTAGAAGGTGTTTCCTATCAGCGCTGGAGGCCTATAATTTAGACGATCTGATTCCTTTCCAGGATGCAGGCTTTCTCCCTGCCCACACAGATAGCACGGCTGACCTCCCTGCCCACACCGTTGGCATCTCTGCTGTCTTTTCTGGGCAGACATTGAATCCCCGAGTTTTGAGTCTTTGGGTTCTCCCACCTGCCTGATACCTGTGACTTCTTCGATTATGTAGAAATACACACCTACACTGCACATCACCTAGGCGACAGGCTGTCCCAGCTTTATGTCTGACCAGCTTGCAAGGCCCTTTTCTTGTGTGTGGGGCAGATTCCTGTGCTCCCCTGGCCCAGCAGCCCACGTTGGGCCTACTGGAGCATAGCTCGTCTGAAGCATCCCGTAGGGATCGCCACCCTATCCTACCTTCTGTCCTCCAGTGTCTGTCAGAGGAGTATGAGACCACACAGGCCCCAGACACAGTTGAATGTGCTCACTGTTGTTTTATTCCTGGGTAAAAGCAAGGATGAACTGAGAGGACACTGTCAAAGGCGGAAAGAGGATGGTGCCTGCTCTTCCTGGTGTTGGTGGTAAAGCTTAGGAACAGATGCAGGATGCAGGTGCAGCGGCCTCTGTGGGTTTATTAAGGCCTTCGTCTGCTCAGAGGCGTCTTCCTGGCTGGATCTCCTTCCTCACCGTCACCTCTACGGACTAAGGGAGCATGACTGTTCCCCTTCAGACCTATTTGCCTGTAGAACCCCTGGGCCATGTCCATGTACCTCCGAGGGACCGAGGGGCAGGAGGCTGCTTTGTACCCGATGCCTGGTGTGCTTGGAGTGAGTTGGCCGGGCTGGGGTGGACACTCCCAGAGGTGTGCAGTAGCAGGCAGCTCATCGTGAGGGAGTTAGTGATAGCGACAAGGCAGAATTAGACCATATGCATCTGATGGCTTTGCCGACCTAAAATACATTTTAAAGCTCTAACTCTTTGTCTGGGAGCTACGTCAGGTGTGGCGACAGGATGTGTTGCTATGAGGAAACTAGGTTTCCCTTTAAGACTTAAGACTTGCCAACTCAGACTTGAAACTAGGCTTCTTCCTCTTGTTTTTGAGCAAATTGACTGAACATAGAACATAGATGATTTGTTTTTTGTTTCTGTTTTTTTTGTGTTGTTGTGTTGTGGTTGTTTTTTGACCTCGGATGAGAAGGTGCTGTTCTTTGGGTTGAGACCCGGGAGTCAGCTTGAAAGCTGACTAACAATGCACGTGCAGTAATCCTAAAACGACTCTCACCAGTGCCCATCGTCCTTGAGTCCAGCCATCCTTTCCTCTCTTCACCCTCAGTGTGGCTGTTTCTCACCTCTCCACTCTGAACTTGTTTTCCCATGGTGACTAAAAACTCAGTCTGACTGACTCTAGAGACCCCCACCAGGGTCGCTTCTATTCATTCTCAGGTGAGGAGACCCAACTCCATACCAAGAGAGATGTCCTCCTTCAGATACCAAGTGGACCCTAACAAGCCAGGTTTGACCCCATCCTCCATAAGCCAATTAAACGCACAGGTAACAGTGAAAAGCAAAGCAGGACAAACAAACCAACAAACCAACAGAAAGGAGCGCTATTCAGTCAGACAAAAACAAAGAGGTCTAGTCCACCCTCCAGAACCAGATCCATCTTCAGGGTGCTAAAATTAGATCTGGGTTCAGAGAGAGGGCCAGAGGTATGTGTAACCTAACAGCTCTGGTCAGAATGTGGTCTGGGTACCACACTGTGTCCAGCTGCAGTCTTTTCTGCATGTGGTCTAACAAACTGTCTAAATCTCTTTCCAGGAGACACTCCCCCTCTGTCTAACACAGTCAGGGTTTCAGCCTTCCTCCTCCAGCATGAGATTCCTGGGAAAATTTAATTTTTGGGGGGGGGTATGTTTTCAGCAGTCTGAATGCTAAAGCAAGGGGACAAGCGTATCTAGATTATCTTCGTTCCTACCGGGGTTCATTCCACATTCAGATCTGAATCGCAATTCCAGGGAGCCCTGCTTTGCCTCCAGCCTCCTCCACTCCACTGGGATGGACGCTCTCACCCTCTGAGGCAGGATACAGCAATGCCTGAGAAGCCGGCTGGGCATGGGCAGGGTACCAGCCTCCTTCCTCTCCTCTAGCCACAGAAGTTTCCCAGGCATGTAGTCTGTAGAGACACAACCCCAAGTCTTTCATCTTGTCTCCAGCATTGACTTCATCTGCAAAAGGAGTTTTCCCCTTATAGCTCATCAATGCAGATGGCTACTTGGGTAACATTCTCAAAGTAAGGTATAGTCTATCTCAAAGGAATGCTTGCCAGCTTAGAACCCACTTAAAACTGAAATGATTTAAAGATGTCGACTGTTCTTCCTTTTCTCTTCATCAAGTTCCTATTTAAAGATTAGAATGTGTCTCGTAGGTTGGTCCCAGGGCATGGTCGGGCAGCTCTGTGGGATCAGCTTGCCTCTGCACTGAGCTCTTCCCTCCGCCCTGCCCTGCTCTCCCACCCAAAGCTGTCTGCGCACTCCTGCCAGTCCACTGCAGTGTTTCTCCAGCAGAGCCCTCCTTCTGCCTCAGTGCCCTGAGTCAATACAGCTCCCTTTTCCTCACGGATCCTCAGGCCTTGGTGTGCTCCCTCTGCAGGATGGGGTCTCGTTCAGTGGCCGGAAGCCCTAGAGGAAAGCGATTGTTTTTACAGCCCTGGTTGGTCCCCCAACTTCTGTAATAGCAGCTTTATATGGTTGTGAAAGACCCCTCCAAGGGGGGACTCATGAGGGACGCGACCCCCAAAGACACTCCAGAGACCTCTTGCTGTAATAACATGAGTCAGGTTTAATAAACGAAGCTACGGACTGAAACGTATCTCACGTAGGAGACAGGGGATTCGGCCCTGAGATCTAACGGTTTAGGGTTTTTATAGACAAAGGCTGGGGGGAGGGAGAGGGTTGTGGGTAATCACACACAATTGGTTGTTATAAATGTTTATAATGTGTGTAAGCAGATCTCAGGCAGAGGTTTGACAAATCTCACGAGAACATTCTCTGGTCCCTGTGGCCTTGGGACCCAGTGTGAATGCTTATCTGAGCCAACAGACCATCTGGCTGAATCTAATTTACAAGTCCTTGGGACCTCTGGTGGGAGTTTTTCCAGAGGAGGCTAAGTCAGACACCACGGGAACAGATTCCGGAACACTCAATTGACCTGTGTTTCTCTGCTCTGTATCTCTTGTAACGGCCTTGGGTTATTGAGCTAGCTGACCTATTATTCTTAACTATTTGTATTCCTGTTATATTATTTAACTAACTTAAAAAATATCTTTTCAGTTGTAAAAGCAACTTTTAGGCACCTGGTCATTTAAGTTCATATCTGGCTTCTGGATACAGTTTTGTTCTCTACACTGATGTGAGGCTCTTGATAGAGATAGAAAGATAGAAAGATAGATAGATAGATAGATAGATAGATAGATAGAAAGATAGATAGAAAGATAGAATGATAGAAAGAAAGAAAGATAGAAAGAAAGATAGATAGATAGATAGATAGATAGATAGATATAGAGATAAT